TCCTAGGTCTGTTACTTCATTATTTTTGTGACATGATTGTTCTCTTAAATGACACCATTACTTTTGCAATAATCATATGGTGGTCACTTCCACATTCTGGCCCTCTAAACACCCTCACGTCCTTCGTTTTTAGTTTAGAATCTTTACGCTGAATGAAATAGTCAATTATTGATTTTAAATTCCTGGTAGGCTGCGTCCATGTAAATTTGTGTATATTCTTATGGGGGAAGAAATTTCCACTCTTAAAAAAATGCTCATGGTTTGAGTTCTTTCTTTTGACATCATTTTTACTGACTTTTATCAGGTTTTGACTTTCAGACCCTTGACTATCAGACTTTGTCAGGTTTTTATTCGTTCGCCTATATTTTCCTAATATTTTTAGTTCTTATTTTGTTTTTTACTCTTATTATTTAGTTATATTTAATTTTTATGTTCATCGTAGGTAATATGTGCCTTCTATATGTGTACCTTTCCTTATTTTATATTTATTTTAACCTAACAAGATATTACTTACTTTTCTATCACGAAATATTTTAACTCTTATTGAAAAAGAATATACTTGACCTCATTTTCTACGTATTTGTAAAATATGTGTTCGTCTAAAAATATGACAATAAATACTCAGAGAACGTGAAAAACACTGAAATAATAAATGGGATATTTGTTTATCGTGTCTCCAAAAAAAATTACCAAATTTATTGGATTCCGTCAAAACTAAAATATTCAATTGTTCATCGACTATTTAAGACTATTAAGTTGATTGATGATAAAAAATATTTATTTCATTACCTATTCGGTCAAAGGACAGAAGATTAATAAAGCGAACAGTCGCCGTTAATAAATCAACCGTTAGGAATATATATTGTGACTTTTATTTTCAACCATCAGTATATTAGAGGAGCGCGCCTGGCGGGAGATGAGTTAATACTTCCAAATAGTTAAGATGTTTTTGATACGACTTTAACCAGCACAAAGCAGGTCCTTTACAAAGATTTTAAAACTGTTTTTTAGCTTTAGTTTTGTCATTTGAAAAATACTCGATAATTATTATTTACAATTTAATTGGTTAGGTAATCTCTAAAACACACATGCACCACTTTAATTAATCTAAACATTTACAATATGAACACAAAATAAAACTAAGGTACATGGATATAATAATAAACACCTACAAATAAGTCCAACATGACTTTATCATGACCTTAATTTGCCTCATTGTTTCTTTAAAAATTTGTTTTTGGCGGAAATGCATAAATAAGCTAGCATAACTCCAAATTGGAAAAAAAAAAATCAGTAAAGTAACACAATAAAATGCATCTGGTTCAACACTAATACCGTGTAGGCCCTCCTCTACTTCTTATGACTGCATTTATGCGTCGAGGCAAGCTTGATATCAAATGTTCAACAAAAGCTTGCGGAATATTCTACCATTCTTCAAAAACGACCTCAATGAGTTGGTTCTGATTGGCAATAGGGGGTCTACGACTTCGAATCTTTTTTTTGAGATGCTCTATAGGATTTATGCCCGGACTATTCGGTGGTTACTCTAGTAATCAACATCATTTAGGTGGCCAATAACCTGTTGAGCCACATGAGAACGAGCGTTGTCTTGCATGAATAAAAAATTAGGTCCAAGAAACTGAGCAAAAGGCATTTCATGCTCGACAATATTGTTATGTAAGTAATAATGGCGTTCATAGACCTCGTACGTATGGGGACCAACGAGCTTCAAAACAAATTCCCCCCCAAAACATTCTAGAGACACCACCAAAAGGTACCTTAGGAGAGATATTGCAGCTGGAAAACCTTTCTCCTCGCCTTCGCCAGACACACTCACAACCATCTGGAGCTTTTAGGTTTACTCTAGTCTCATTGGAGAAAAGAACTTTCCAATCATCGATGGTCCAATTTTGATACAATCTTGCAAAATTAAATGGGGGTTCAGTGAGGGTTTTTTGGCCGGTTTCCTGTTGCTCAATTCTGCTTCATGTAGACGTCTTCTAACTGTTCGAGACGATATCGCGGCATTTCGAACATCTGCTAGATCATATTTTAACAAATTGCTGGTGACTCTTCTATCTCTTAGACCACGTTTTCGCCCTTGCCCTGATCTTCGATGATAGGACCCTGTTTTATTATATCGCCTCACCTTCTGATGCTGGAATGATGTCTTCCTAACAAACCTGCAACGTATCGCATTGAATATCTTTCATCTAAGAGAGTCGATGCTCGCACTGCCTCCTCCATTGACAAATTTCTTTGGCGGTTCATTTTTTTTATTTGATTTTTATGCAAATGAACTTCCAAACATGCATGTGATGAAAAATATCACAATAAAAACGGTTGTTTCTCGCAAGCACTTTGCTTTAATCGGCATCTTTTATGAAAAGTTTAACTCACTTTTAGTCTAAAACAAAGTTTAATACAAATTAGTATAATATACTAATTATACTACTACAACTCTCACTGTCAAACAAAGTCCATAAGCAACTTGTCGTACAGTAAATTATCAATAAATAAAGATGATTGAGAAAAAATGAATGGTGCATTAATTTTGTCCAGGAGTTATAATTAATAATAATAATAATCCAGGAATATATAATTACTATTTCTTTTGTTTAAGTTCAATAAGTAATATTCAATTTGGAACTAGATTTTATTATACCATTGAAATCAACGTTTTGGCAGGTAGCCCTTGCCTTTGTCAAGATTCTAAAATGTACAAGATTAGGAACAAAAAGTTATTGTAAAATATATAAAAAAATCTTACCAAAATGGAAACAGCACACTGACATTAATAAAATGACAGAAGTAAAAATTGATATCTGATTTCTCATGGTTTACTGTCATTAATATGGGCGTATCGTTGGTGTTTTCGAAAGATGGATAGTGGAGATATGTTATGACTTTAAGAGTTTTTTATGGTGTTATATTTATTATTATTCAAATCAGTTTGAAATATATTTTTTTGTATATAATGTATTTGTATTTTTGTGTATAAATGTATTTATTTTTATTTCCATTGATTCGTATATCTCGCTCTTCTTTTTGTTTTGCTCGGTGTTTAAAATTTTGATGTTTCCGAAATCAAATTTATGCTTCTTCTCATTTTCATGTTTTGTTAGGGCTTGTCATATTTGTGAGAACGAATTCTGGATTGAAGCAGTTGACTGGTTTGCCCAATATAGACACTTTCACAGTTAATACATGGTATCTCGTAAACAACATGTGATTCTTTGAGTTTGTGTTTTTAATTCGGTGAAATATTTATTTAAAAAGTTGTTGCCTTTGTGAGCCACTGTTATGTTATGTTTGGCCAAAACACTGGCAAGTCGTCTTTGTTTTGATTTTTAATGGAACGGAATTTAAAGATCTATAAAGTATCAATGATTTAATAACACAATCTCAAAATTCATTAGAATGAAGCAGCAGTGTAAGCTGCAGATGTAGCTTCTCCAAGTATTTTAATGCTATGCAATGATTGTCGCACCTTAAATTTATTGAATTAACCTTCCGATGCTTGAAATCCTTCAGCTGTACATTCCACCGCTACCACCCGGTTCTTTAAAATGTGCGTAACGTCGTAACAACTTTAAATTTATTGAACCAACTTTCCGATGCTTGGAATCCTTCAGCTGTAGATTCCACCGCTATCACCAAGTTCTTTAAACTGTGCGTAAGGACGCTTTACCTTCTCCCAGACCATTGGATCGCTCAGAGGCACCCTTCTTGGCTAAGGTCTTCCATTTATAATGACAACGCCACTTCCATTTTTTGAATTGCTGGAACACGAACAATTTTTTCTGACAGTGAAGTTGAAGCTACAGATGACCTTATTTTATCTTCGAGATTTTTTTATTGATTGCACAGTCGATTCATTGACATTTATTGCTTTAATGAATGCTCCTTTTCATATAAAAGTTACGTAGACGATTAATTACTGCATGTTTCCTTATAATTACATAACGTTCAGCAATATATTTTGTTTGGCCACTTTAACTTAAGATTTAAAATAAATAATCTTCTGTTTGTGTAGTTTATTTAAGAAAAAGTTAATGATTAAACCATTAATAAAGATATTTTTAAGGGTAAATATTTGGACGTTTATTTCCAACGTTTAGTTTATTGAGTTAGCTGATAATGAACTCCCAAGTCAATTTGCCATAAGTGAAAGTTTGTTTCCCCCTAACGCCCTCTAATCCGGATCGTTTCGCCCTTCTCGAAATATACTGCTATCACCCACCCTATCATGACCCTTAATTACTTCACAGGGATACGCTCTTTGATTTCCATTAACTCAATTCAATTCACCCTCTTCGAGAGTCTCACCAACAAAACTTAACATACACACATAAAAAGTAGACGGCAAAATTCTTACCTTGAAAAACGTTTTTTTATAAAAATATGTTAAGGTTTTATGTTAACTCTATATACTATATACTAACAAGAGCCAAAATAAAAAACACTTAAATAGTGGTGTGTACAAACTTCAATGTGGCGACTGCCCAAAAACTTACATCGGTCAAACTGGTAGAAACTTTAATAAACGAATAGCAGAACATAAAAGGGCTTTCAATAATAGAAAAACAGATTCGACATACGCACTTCACCTTCTAGATCATAATCATTCTTTTAATGACAAATTTAAAATACTTCACATTCAAAATAAAGGCCTTAAGCTATCTTTGTTAGAATCTATGGAAATCAACAAATTAAAAAACACAAATATAATTCTGAATGACCAACTTAAAACAGTTCTCCCCTTCTCAACCTATTTCATTAGAGACTATAAATGGTAAACCCATGCCAAAAATAGATCACTTGAGAAAGGCAATCAGCCGAAACAGCTGTAGTGATAATAGTTAAAATAAATTTTGTGGAAGTTTGAAAACAAAGTTTCCAGTGTTTTATTGTTACTATATACTATTCCCTAATTTAGTTTTTTTATTAATATTATTTTTTTGATAAGTATTTTACTATTATTTTGGTTTTGATTACAGACATTCATGGTAGAATAAAATCGGAGAGTAACAAAGATTTAGATGACGACGACATGACCGACGAAGATAGAAAAGACGACATCCTTGGCACTAACATGCACCATATCTTAGGCAACGGTTTCGGAATGAAATCGGAAATGAAAACCTCTGACTGTGGGGTTCCATTACCTCCTTCGAAGCCGAAGATCTGGTCTTTGGCGGATACAGCCGCTTGTAAAACTCCACCTCCTCCTCCGTCATCACAACAGTGGCTTGGAAGCAACGGTTTCGCCCTTCCTAGTTCTAGGTACAGCGGAAGCGGCTTCCTCCCAAGTCACTGTCAACAGGGGTTTCCAGACGTCCAAACCGATACTCCCCCTCAGACTCCTCCTAGTATGAAACTTCCCAGTGTTGCGGGCAATCTGATACCTGGACAAGGTCCGTGTATAGGGTCTTCAGGAAATAGCGGGTATTCTCAATCAGGTTTTCTAGGCGGGTTTAGCAGAATACAATCACCTCAGAGGCCTCAAGTTCCTCAGTCGAACCAAATGCCAGCTTCAACGACGGACAACGCTGCCTTCAAGCCTTTTTATAAAAGGTAGGTATGTTAAATATTGTTTTTAACCTACTCAATAAAGAGACGTAAAACTATTATGGAGTTGTTAAAGCTTAGATTAAACGAGTTTCCCTTTTCCTTATTATCAAATACTATAAAATATACCATTCATATTGTCATCATGATAATCTTACACTAACTAATATAGATCCAGGAATATATGAACTAATTCAGATCAGAAATCGTAAAACTAATATAAAAAATTTTTTCATATCGTGTCGGTAAACAGGAAAACAGATGAACCTGTTTATTTTACTAGTATTGTTGAAATTAAACTAATTATTTATGAACTTTTTCTTGTTTTACTTGTAAACTATAATTTGGTATTATATGAGGACAAAACTGGCCCATATTTCTATTTGTTTTTGTGAGTATTATATTAACAGTAGAGTAAGAAGAAAAGATTCGGTTGAAATAGTAGGAAAATACGGAGAAGACACCAAGAATAACAATGGTGAAAGATTCATAGATTTATGCAACCAGAATTAACTCAGAATCTTAAATGAATACTTTCCACATAAAACTATTACACAGCTATACATGGATTCAGTAAACACGAAACATAAAATCAATAATCGATTATATTGTAACAAAACAAAAAACCCGACTAAGAGTACAAGATGTAAGAGTACACAGAAGCGCAACATGCGGCAGCAATCACTATTTATTACGTTCAAAAATACACCTTCAAACCAAAGTTCAAACCAAAGACAATAGAGAGAATAAACAAGACAGAAAAGATACAGGAACCAAGATCCACATCAGAAGCCTAATCTTTGTTTCAATTATAAGAAAATAATATTACGCTTATGGAGGTCAGTGTTGCCAAAACTCTCCGGCACTCTCTTTTGCACGGATGTCCAAGATATTCCCTTTGCTTAATTTTTAAATTTTCATTTTCAATTAACATTTATCTGTAAATAAATAAAAGCCTTATTATCATTATGTAGTGTACGGTCAGCTGTAAACAAGGTCAGAATAGCCTTGATGATTTCCAATCTCCGATAGGAGCGGCACAAAAAGAAGAAGAACTCAGAGAACGACATAAAATCGCTGACATACGCACATCGTATTATTTTAAGTTGCAATTAGTAATTAGATATACGCATTCCAAGCGGTCCGTTTATTTTCTTTTAAAACTTTAATAGGCGGCAAAATGCATGATTTAACTAAGCAATATTTTCTACTGAAAAACAAATAAACTGTCGTTACTATAATTAAAATAAGATAAAATAAAATTATCTTTTGTAAATACTATTTATCTAAATAAAATCATTTTCCCTACTTTTCATCTCTGGTTTCGAATGGGCACTTTTGGTCAATTAAGTTAAAAAACATTAATTTAATTCATGTCTGTGGAAACGAAAATACAAATTATACAACCCTAAATTGTGCTTGTGTGTCTCGTGGCAACGCCGCGTTTCTATCGTCCCTAAGAAATACATGGCCCTATCTCCGCAATGTTATTTTCTTAACGTGGAACGTAGTATAGATGAAGAAAGTACCCAAGACTTATTCAAAAATAGATTGGATGAGAAGCTACAAATTCCCGCCCCTAAGAATATCGACCAGTTATTGAACATATAAAAAACTGTTTACACGAAGCAGCATTCGAAGCAATGGGATACTACATAATACCAAAGGTAATCAAACCATACTGGTGGGATAACGAAATAGAGGAAGAAATAAAATGTAAAAGACCACCAACACTATTTAAGGTCCAAATCATTACAAGACAAAATGAAATATAAGGAAAAACAAGCAGAAGTGCGAAGGAAAATCTCTAAGAAGAAGAACGCCTCTTGGGAAAAGAACTACCAACGAATAAATACTTATCTAGGAGGAACCAGATGCACAGAAGGGTGAAAACTGATAAAAAATTGAGAAAAAAAAAAGAATAAAAAGTAAGATAGAGACTGAAGCCTGGGGCTTCAAGTTCTATTTCAAAGAACTTTTGGTAGAGAACAGAGTTGAATTTCAAAAACATAGAAATCAAAACCAAGATTGAATTTCAATAGTCGGCTCGCCAACAAGATGCCAATAACAACAAAGGAAATTAAACAGAATTTTATGGGACCAGTCAATCAGCAAAGAATATAAAAAGAGGATATATGAGACTGTAGTAAAAAGTATCACTTTATACAGCTATGAGGTATGGCAACTGAAAGAAAGAATACTGGCAACGCTGAAAGCAACGAAAATGGATTTTTGGAGAAGAGCCGCAGAAAGATCTAGAAGAGAAAGGACGAACGATACCAACGAACGCATAAGAGAAATAATGGAAATCAAACGAACAATCACAGTTGACCTAACAACAAAACAATTTATCTGGTTCGGACACATACAAAGAATGGATGAACAACAAATACCAAAAGGCCTCGGGGAAAAAACTTACAAACCCTCGGGCCAGAGGCACTCGGGTTTGTAACATCGTCGCCCTCTGGGCATAAACATCTATTTAATATCCTTGGTATATAAATAACTATTATGTCACGCGCTTGCAAGTAGGCTCATGGCTAAGAGGCACCAAGAGGACAATTATTTATAAATCACATTTTTATTGGTTATTAACAGTGAGAGCTGAAAATTGAACGAATTATAAATGAAGATATAAATTTTATGATCAATTTTGTAGAGGGTTTATCCCAAGAAGGAGTAAAAAGGTGATGTAATCCGTTGTGTGATGGTACTCGTAAAATATCGCCTGTTCGAGCTCTATTTTTTTTTTTTTTAAATGAAACTTCAATTTGTAACTCGCTGAAAAATTAATGTATATTAAAATCATGCATGTGTTGCTTATGTGAGTCCATTTTAAAAAGGTAAACAAGAAATAATTAGACTTAATCACAATCAATTTAATTTTACTACCTCAGACGACCGGTTTCGCTTTTTAAAATTTGCAAAGCATCATCAGGTCGGTGGTACAAAGTAAATTAAATGCTGAAATTATAAAAAGCCCATATTAGGGTGCTGTCTTATAAGGATATAGATAAAAAAGTTATAGATCAAAAAAAGTTTTAGTAATTATGCCAATATTACATGTCTGTGTTAATTAATATGCATAAATTGCGTTTGCAGACAGTACAAACCCACAACTTGTTAAGATAAAAAGTCTGTTAAATTGTGATACATTAGAAATAAACAAAATACTACTTACATTCCGGTACAAGAACTACTATATAGTGATTGGTAATTCATAGTTCAAATTTTCCTTTAACTGTCTAACAACTTAGGAGGAAGTTTCTTGAGGGGATGGGTGTTAACAGATGATGTAGGAGTAGGGTATATGTTATTGTTTGTTGAAAGAGAATGTGATGTTTTATATTATTTAAAATATTATAGTTATTTATATTTATTGAAGAGATATATTTTGAAATGTGTGTTAAATTATTGAAATTTTTTATATAGAAAGAGGACAGTTATATGACGATGAATGAAAGTACTTGTAATGTTTTGTGGGTGTGCAATTTCTTTGACTTGTAATTATAAACTTTTGATTGAAAAGCATTTAATTTCTGCTAGGAAGAGAATTGTGATGTCAAATGTTAAAAAATAACAAATGTTAATAATAAAACTTTTTTTGATCTATAACTTTTTTATCTATATCCTTATAAGACAGCACCCTAATATGGGCTTTTTATAATTTCAGCATTTAATTTACTTTGTACCACCGACCTGATGATGCTTTACAAATTTTAGAAAGCGAAACCGGTCGTCTGAGGTAGTAAAATTAAATTGATTGTGAGTAAGTCTAATTATTTCTTTTTTACCTTTTTAATGTATATCAGCAACTATTTTCTTGTTTCACCTTGTTAAAAATTCCCGATTTGTTATATGAACTGTACATTGAGCTATAAAGAGATTTTATAGATGTGGTTTCTTTTCGAAAGATATTTGTTAAAAATCACAAATTATGTACTTATTTCCACCGATTCATATGAACCCACTAACATAAAAATCAGAACGCCAAAAAGTTATTTTTAGATGACCATAACATCTTGTAGATGTGCAAGATGTTTTCAATAAATAGCTCTTAATTTGTGAGAAAAAAACCCAACAATTAAGAAGGGATATATCCGTCATCGCCTAAACTCAAACTTGTTGCCTTACCCCACGCAAATCGCGTTCGGGTCCATTTAAAATCTTCCCACAGCTTAATTGGACCTTCTTATCTTTCTGATATCCTAATTCACTTGTTTTTTTCTGTTACAGCTCCCAAAGCATGAACGGAGGGTTCGTGTCGCCAGTATGAGCCGCTCCCTTCTGGGCCCCGTCGATTCATCCACCTGGTAAGCGCTGTTGTCAAATCTTTAAAATATTTTTATATCCCGGAAACCAGAAAACAATAAATAAGGTTTAATTTTTTACACGATTGTGATCAAAATATGATTATTGTTATCGGTCCTTTTCAACGGGGATTGAATGCTTAATAAATAGTATTTACCAAATTGTTGCTTTGATTTTAAAAATATAGTTTTTTTTGTTACTGTTATTAATATTTAAAGTATTTTACGAAAACTTTTTTCATTACTATCTTCCATAGTTATAAAATACATTTTTTATCCAGATTTAAACCTTCCGGTTTTTTACTCTCTCCAATTGGAAAACGCACTCATTTAAGATACCTAGGGGTATCAAAAAAATTGATTGATCTCTAGTGGGACTCTTTCGGAAGCAAAGTTTCTATACTGGCGTTGAATTACTTTGCTTCTCTACTGTAAAATGCTGAGGCGGGCGTCACGGAACTAGCGTCACGAAAAGGCGTCACGTGTAGCGTCACAAAAAGCTGTTGATCACATCTATTCACTACTCTCGATCAATTCGTTTCTACTTATCATATATCTATTCTAAACAGGTTTAAATTAAAAACTTCATGACAAATAACTATTTAATACATAAATGTAATATATAATATATATGTTTAATAATAAATTTAATTATTATATAAACTAACTAAAATGCTTAAAAATAATAATTGTATTTATATAAAATTATTTTAAAGCGAGAATTGCCATAAAATTTTAAAAATATGCTTCAATATTGTTTATAATTGTATGACATTTAAGACATTTAAATTCGGACAATCTTTATGAATCGAATCATTTATTGACAGATATTCTTTTAATTTTTTACTTGTCATTGAATGCCTATATTTTGTTGCCTTTTGTTGCCATTTAATGCCTATAAATTAAACGTGTTAAGAATAAATATATGTATGATGATTAGAAATGAATTGGTCAATGTGGCGCTCACCTCAGCATTTTAGTATAGAAAGAAGTAATACAACTCCAGTATAGAAACATCGCTACAATAATTTATTCAATTATTTTAATATAATATAATTTGTTTAAAATTCAAATAATAAGCACATAATAAAATTACTTGATTCAATTTTAAAACTATTATTCATATATTAAAAATACAGAAAACATAGTGTATGAACAGAGTCCTCGTCTTCTTTTTTCTTTTAAAAGACTTGTGCTGTCTATTACTACTTTATCGAAGAAAATTGCCATTCCATGACGGCATTAAAAACAAATTTACAACATGCAAAAATCGATCTTCAGTCTGCTGAGCCCACCTCCGTTGAGTTGTTTAGGATTAACACTCCAATAGACAACGGTGGCCTATCAGAACGGGGTTTATGTTCAAAAGGTTTCTTATACAAATAAATAATATACACAACAGGTTTAAAACAAAAAAATGTACTTATCTAAATATTATACAAAAATATATGCTTGTGATTTTGAAATATAGATCATTTTGTCCTAATAGCCACCATCGTGTGGTCATGTAACTTTTAAAATATGCACTTCCATGTATCGGCTGTGGATTAAAGTCACGTTTGATGCAGAATATAGCCAAAATAGAAGGCTAAGAAATTTGGGAATTGAGTTAATAAAAGAATCCAGAGCCTCGACGTCAGGTTTACACTTATATATTCAGTCTGTAGTCTAAAGATCTAGTAGCTTTAAATAAAACTATAGACAAAATGACGTAAAATCATTTTGTAATTTTGTGCTACTATATTTTCAGCACTACTTTTACTCATCCCTAATAAAAACATAAGACCTTTACCTTTTTTGTAGGAAAATATAAACATATGTACTTTAGCCTTTAGGCTTCATAAGCCAATTCAATTTCCATGTCGGACATGTTGTTCTTAGCTCTAGAGGGAACAGACTGATATCGCCCCAATACTCAACACAATGTGTGGATGTCTCACCGAACGTGGGAACACAGTTGATCCAACGTTGGTGCCAACGTTTGATCCCATTTCTCGAACCGACCTTAGATCTTAGAGTTTTATCCAGTATAAGATCAGTCTCAAGGTGCAACTTGTTGTCCTGATTAACTCTAAACAGTATAGTAGTTGCCATTGTCGAGCATACTATCAGCGATGTATTGATAATAAGAAAGATGGTTAGTTTGGAGAAGTTCCGAAGAAGAAGTTATTTATCACTTCTTATTTGCCTTATTTTTTAGAGTTTTATTTCTTTCATAACTTCACATGCCTGTCTTCATTGCAACGGTATTGCACTGAGGGTATTAATGTATTGTCCTCTTTTTGGTATTCATTTGATTGTGTCAGAAATTCCTATAAACAGAAACCATTAATCTCTTTGGAGTTTAAATAAGTTTAGATTATTTTATTCCTTTATTGGACATAACAAATCAAATAGTAGCTACAAATGCAATAACTTTTTATCTAGTTGTATGTTTTATTGAATGTGCATTGCAGTAAATTGGGTAATTTTGTTGAAGCAACCAAGATTACAATTTTGTCATGTATTAAATTATCTACAGCAATTCCTATCATTGTTGTTCATGCATATATACATTACCCAGCTGCTATGTAACTATTTATGGAATGTAAGAGAAACAGCGAAAATTGAAAATGTTTGTTAATCAAATAACGAATAATTTTTAAAACCTTGGCTTTTCTCAAAGACTAATTATTCCTGCTACTTTAAATATGTGGCAACCTTGTAAGTAAACATTGCCCACGCTTGAGAATCGTCCGCGGAATGAAGAATACCCTGCAGTCACAATCGCCACCTCTGTGACATTGACAAATGAAGCGAGATAGTGATCAGTGAATGGTCCTCGTGCGGTCCGGTCGCGGCCATTAACTAATACAGTATCCTACTGGCCCACACCAAAACAAACTTATTTTATTTATTAATTAAAGACATTTGTTAGATTTTTCTCTATTCCCATATGCATCTTGAAACGAATAAAATGTGTGAATTGACAAAGTTCAGAAGAACTGAAAGAGAGGTGATGAAAAATACTAAAAATAGGGCTAAGCTCAGAGGAACAAATTTAAATGGCCAAAGAGACACTAAATCTCAAGTGAGTGTTCGGGCTAGCTTCAATGCACTGGATTGTGGCTTTAAAGATTTAAACAGATAGCAAGGATACTGAGCTAATGAGACAAGAAACGAAATGAGACCTGGTAATATCAAACGTGATACAACTAAAGAAGGTCACTGGGAATAAATTTATAGAAAGAGAACAATAAGAAGAGAAAAGAAGGGCGCCAACTCAACGATAGTTGAGATTTTGAAGTAACAAATGAATCTGGAGGTAATACTCTGAAATACAAAAATACTAAATATTAATCTTGTTTTGCTATGTTATATACTGGTTAGTAGAACTGAAATAAAACTCAAAATAGCAACAATAAATATATTTATAAACAAATGTATATAGGTATATGTGTATAAACAATTTACATATAATGCAAAGCCAAATAACAGTGGTAGTGGATGGTGTACAGATACAATAGGACCTAATAGCCCCTCAACAAATGAATAGTCACTACCACTGGCCAAATAAAATATGAAATATTAGTATACAACAAGAATAGTCCGTAGGGTAGCCAAAGTCTTAAAACAAAAAGGTAGTCATTTAAATTTAAATTAGTTCTACTAAAATGAGGTACTAATGACAATATTGTAAAGATATCAAACTTGATAAATCTCTATTACAATTATATTAAATATATATATTACATCCAAAAAATGAGTTGTTCCATACTCATTATATAATATTTAAAAAACAAACCACATTAAATTTATGTCCCTCTTAATATCAAATTGTATTATATTAACAAAAATATTATATCCAAAAAAAAGTGAGTTTGGTCAGACTCTCTAAATCCTAGTTAAAACCTAATAACACATGAAGTGTCCCTTTTTCCTCCCGAATATTTTATAATTAAATTATCAAAAAAAAAATTATCATAAAGGTATTCACCTTATCATATGCATATGATCAGTTAACAGTAAATATAAAGTAATACGTAATACAAAAGGTCAAATAGGTAGTTAAACCTCTTGGCACGGCTACATCAGTTTGTGGCTGTAAAGACGAATCCTGGTCACAAAAGCCACAACCAGTCACTGGTCTCTGGGTGACAGCAAAATCCACGGGTTTGCTAACTATGTATCTAAGGATTCTGTTACTAGTATCCTTGAGGGAATATTCTCAAGAGAATATCCTCAAGTGAAGTGAAAATAATATTTTCACGTGACGGAATCTAAAATGATTATTTAATTTAATAAATATGTAATTCAATAGGTGTAGCAACATGGATTGACTGCACCAAAACAAAACATCAAAACATTTGGTATTAGGTTAAGTCAACATCATGTCAAATTTATGAAGTTACTTTCGTAGGCATGGCAAGCTTGCGCCATGAAAAGAACATGCGCAGAATATAGAAGGCTGTCCACATTTGTCGAACCTTTTTATATTCCACCAAAAAAGTTAAGATACAAAATGGGAACCAAAAAAAACTTAATGATAACGACGTGGAATAAAACAGAATTTAAGTTTAACTATATAAAAAAAATGACCTTCTGTTCTTTGCAAGTAAATCAAGGAAATTTTATATTTAAATTATTTCGGAACTCAAAAATAAATCTCTAAAGAAATACTAAATACAATGATAAATTTGATTGTAATAAAGAGATAATACGTATAAAATGATTTACTTACATGGAGCTCGCAACACGCCAAAAAAACTCTTCCTTTTTATATGGAACTCACAAATGAATATTGATTTTATTATTTTACTTATTATTATTATGATATGTATTTTATTTATAAATTAATTTATTCTTCTCCATATTATTTTTCTGCTCCAATTCCGTCACTTTAAAGGTGAAAAATTTCACCGGTTTGACGTGGCTGCGATCGAGTTCTGACCAAAACTGATCGTTTTCGTACAAACTCGACCAATCT